ACAGACAAAATACCAGAAAGTTTATGTCAGTTTTAAAAGGGTCCCTTATCCACTTAAGCCTCAGGGCAAATAAGGCTGAAGACCAACTCCAGAATCTGATTTGAAAGGTTATAGAATTGCAATGCTAAATACAATGGACAATACTAAGACCACTAGTTTTTGGTAGTGGGGCAATGATGAGAAAGAGAAACAGGGGATGGTAGTATCTTCTCCCTTCCCCCCAACAACTTCATTGAGGTATAATTAACATACATAAAACTGTAGTAAAAAACAAGAAGAATAAAAAAATATTATTTCAACATGTAGCACTAGCCATATTTAGGTGTTTAGTAACCACATGAGGCTAGTGGCTACCATATTGGACAGCATAGCCCTACAACTATCACCTCTTCCAAGACAGCAAACTAAAAGAAATAATAATTCTGTGGGTGAATAACAGACATTAGTGAAACCATCAGAAAGCTGAAAGATGTTAGGGGTGATAATTCATACTATACACCCATTTAAACTGTTTAGTATACACCCATTTAAACTATTATCAATGCATGGCATTGATGCAGACTTAATCATTTCATAATGCTAACTGTAGATGCAGTTTTAGCTATACAATCTTTACCGAAGCATATTAATATAGCCCCCAACACTAGGTATGAAGCAATGGACTTGATTTCTGGTTAAGGTAATTTGTATAACAAAGATAATCAGAAGCGGTTTTTTCCCTTCACACTGCAGGAGCAACATACTTTTACTATCTTACCTTAAGGCTAAGTCAACTGTACTCTCTTTGTCATAACACAGTCTGGAGAAATCTTGTTCATCTTGACATCCCACAAAACATCAAGCTGGAATATTACATTCATGACATTACACTGATCGAACTTGGGAGAAGGATATAGTAAATATTTGAGATGCCTCAGTAAGAGGTATATGCTATAGAACAGGAGATAAACTCCAAGAAAGTTCAGGGACTTTCCGCATTGGTAAAATTTTATGGGCCAGTGATCTGGGCATGCTGAAATAGATCCTCCATCGTAAGTGAGAAATTGCTGCACCCTGCACCTTCCTTCGTGAAAATGAAGCACAAAATATGGTGGCCTCTCTAGATTTTAGAAGCAACATAGACCATATTTGGGTATACTTCTGTGGTGCATGTACTAGGTAATCCACAGGCTGTCCATTTTGAGAGCAGTTTGGGGCAAGAAAAGGATCTGCATCATACTCCTGCCATGATGAAAGCTCCCCTCTACCTTTGACTCTAAGATTCAGCAGATGCAATGATTTTTGGAAATGTCTATGGCAAACGAAGATGCCGTATGACATCTCTGTCAGTGGAAGCCTCAATGTGTAGATCCCTCATGGTTTTATAGTAAAGACATGCAGTCTTCTAACAATAACTAACCACCATTTGAAAAGCCACTCCTTACTTGCTAATGAACTTTGGTTAAGACTGTGTACCAGGCAATAGGACTCCCAATGACAATGTGGCCCAAACCATGCATCATGAACTAGGTGTTATCTATTTCAACATATCAAAAATGTATACAACAGCATTTCATTGGTATATTTTCCTTCCCCGCAGCCTTCTTACACTGGTTGAGGAAGCCCAAGTATACTGTATGAGCAAGTAGCTCAGAGGTCTCTAATACCTGCTACTACTGTTTCTCAATCTTTTTGCTTCAATCCATCTGTATGACCTCTTGGGGTATTCTCAGTGACCAGTTGATGAGGATGAAACAGTGCAGATCTGGTTTGTAAATAGACTGCCTGGTATTCAATACCAGCTGTGACTACAGTGTTTACAGGTCCACTTAAGGGAGATGGCCCTGAAATACAGTGGCTATCCCTCCAGCAGCCAGAATTTCATTCAGCTAGTACATTTAACTGTACTTTGCATGGAAGAAGAGATACTCGAGGTAATGATATATGGAATGGCCATACAGTCAAGGATTTCAAAGAACAAAATTGGATGACTGGTGACAGAAGGTCTAGGGGAGAGTTATGAGGATGTATCTTTCGGAATTGGCAAAAAGTGTGATGATACGGTATTCTACGTAAATTCTCTCCAGAGGGCATTCACTATAGAGAAGGCCCTTAGTAATCTGGACAAGGTAATCTCATCAATCTCAGACTCTTTACCAGGCTTACCTGGTACTTGCTCAGTGGGCCAATGTACAAAGTGATAATGGGAGTAGGGACACAGAAACTATGAACAGATTCAATTATGTAGACTTCCTTCTTCTCCATGACTGATTTAACTACCACCACTGCTGAGTTCACAATTTTCCAATGCTGAGACCCTGATATGGCACCATTCCTGAGGGAAAGCAACCAAGCAAGTAGTGGCAGGCAGGTTAAATTTGACTCTTTCAACACGGAGGAGGCAGAAATCTATCCTATTGGGATGTGCCTTCCCTTTCTCTTCAATATTTTTGGAAGCTCCCTCAAGTATGGATTTAACAGAATGCCTTACCAATTACCTTGGTATTCCTTGCAACACTGCCTTCAACCAGGAAACTCCTTTTTATGGCAAGACAAACACAATTAGCTCAAATCTATAGAATGCATGGATCATACCCCAAGTATCACCCCCCAGAATCAGCTGGCTATATGGAGTGGTGAAATGGCCTACCAAAGGAGTGGTTAATGTATGGTTGCCAGTTGGGAGGAGTTTGGGTGTGTGCGTTCTACAGGATATGATATATGGCCAACGTCATCTCCTCCATAGCCAGAAAGCATGAGTCTGAGAACAAAGAGGTTAAGGTAGAGGTAGCCACTCTAATAACATCAAATAACTCATTTAAAGGCTTTTTACTCTGTGTCCTGAAACCTTCAGATTGGTGGTTTTGGAGACCTCAGTTCCCAAAAGAATGTTTTCTCCAGGTTTCAGAGATCTAGTCCTGTTGTATTGGAAGCTGAGAATACTCATTACCTATTTTGGGCATGCAAGCTGCTAAACAAACAGGGACTGGCTTACAATTTTTCCAGACTACCAGAATGATTTGGAGTTGTTGCTATACATTGAGGATAAGAACTACGCTTGGAACTCAGGGGATTTACTGGGGCATATCTTTTAAAATACTTATCTAATAATTTTGGTTATTGAAAAACTGTAGCAATATAAGAAAGACAGGACCACCAAAGACTCAGAATCTATAAAATTTGAGTCACCTATTAGATAAAGAACATTATTTAGCCGATGTGCTAAAGAGAGTAAGAGGAAGAGGAAGATGTATTTGAATGGAAGAAGAAAACTATAATGATCAATTTTGAGCTTTCTGGCAAATTAGAGAAGCAAAAACTATAGCAACTCTGTTTTATGTTCTATCTATTATGAAGAACATTAGGGATGGCTAGTATTTTAGGTTCCAGTTGAAAGCATGATTGAATTGGTATCAGCTCTTGGTGATGCAGTAGCTGGATGCCCCCTCTCCAACAGTGACTCCATTAAACTCTCTTAAATTACCCAATTTGAATATATCTATTTATATATCTGCAAAAATCATAACTTGGTATACTAAAATTGCAAAATGAGCACAATGGCAGTTATAAGGACCATGTCTTTATTTATGAAGACAGATTACATAATATGCACACACAAAACCATGATATTAAAAACAACACAATTTCAACAAAAATAAGATGGATGTGTACAGTTATTTATTACATGAAGTCGAGGCAAAAATATCTGTTCATGAAGATCTATTTGTTATATAATCTTTGGACAACTCAGTAATAATTTAACTCTGGCTAGAGTACATGACAAGTTAAAGGAAATGCCTGTCATGTCCTAAAAATATTTTTCAATAAAACTTTTCATAATAAAACACTGCTTTAAGATATAGTTTTGATAGCATAATTTTAAAATAAGACATAAAATGTTGTAGTTGGAAATAAGTGAATTCCTTTAACTCAAGAAGGAAAGAAAAATATATACTTAAAATATTTTGTTTCCATGTTGGCATTAATTTAATTTTTGTAACTGCCCCAAATTTAAGAGTTAATGTTTAAAATAGTTTTACACAATTCACATTCATGTTTAAAAACTCAGTACAGCCTGAAAAGGAAAAATGTAATACGAGAGATAATACAATAAGCATTATCTCACAACCTCAGCACTCTCCAATACGATTTGTCAATGTAGATTAAAATATCACTTCCATCATATCTTCATATTAAAATTAAAATTTAGTATGTCATTATGAACAGAAGAAACAAATAAAACTGGTTTGAGAGTATGCTGTATTAATTTTCCACGTTTAACTTCTTGGTTATGAAAATTTATGCTAAAAGTCAAATGAGATTCATTTAGATTTCTGATCATTCTTTCTCTTTTATGTGTTATATTCTGGCATTTCTTAAAAACATTAAATTTATTTCAGATTTTTTTCTTTTATTCCCAAGAACTTGTCATATTCTAGATTTTTTTTTAATGATTTATGAAACACAGCAAAGTTTCAGAGTACCCAACGACTATAGTTTGGGAGCTAAAGATACAAGGAGAGTTAAAATTAGAATATAAAATACTCCAACGGCCAATTTTCTGAGGATATTTTCAAGTTCAAAAGAAACCATTTTATTTTCCACAGAGATCCCAGCCTGAGCACTGTATCAGTCAAAAAAAAAATCAGTTTTCATTTTCTCTATAGTAACTCGAAACATAACTAATATTGTAATGGATCTTCACTTATGCTGAATTAACCATAATGACTGCATTCTTAAAATTTTAAAATCATAGAAAATATACAACAGCTGCTTTCTTATGCTAATATATTGAAGTAAGATACTCTCCAGTTGACAGTGCTTCTTTTTGCCAAGCCTGAAAGTCTACAGATGAAAGACACATGCATCCTGATAGATTTATCAATTATCTAATGTATACCAATAACAATATTGTCTTGGTCATCACTAACTACATACCAAAGCCATGTTACTATCATCCAGTAGTACTCTTCTAAATTTTCCTGTTTTACTTTTCTTCTCAAGGAGTTGGTGACACTTACCAGAGTGGGTCCTGAGGTGTCCTGTGAGGGCGTCCCTTCTTCTACAGGCATAGCTACAGAAAGGACATTTGAACGGCTTCTCTCCAGAGTGTAACTTTATGTGTCTCAGAAGGTTGCCCTTCTGAGTAAAAGAAGCTCCACACTGGTTACAGTGGAAGGGGCGTTCACCTGCAGTAAGGAGAAGAAATGGGAAGGTTCAACTAGGGTATGTGCAAGTGACTAATTTGCCATCCACTGTTAACCAAAGCCATTTCTCTATGCTAAAAATGTTCATCTCCCTCATAAGTCTTTTAAACATTTATCTTCCTAGAATTTGCTTTGCTAATATAGTTACCAAAGTCTCAAGTTTTACATCAAATGATCTTTTCCCTTCTATGTATAAATGTGACAGAAGTCCTATCATTGACTCATAATAACAACAATAATAGCATTTACCATTGGTTGAACAACGAGGTGCTGTCACTTTACTGCCTTACACACAATTGTACGCTTTCCATAGAATATTTCAATCCTTTCTTACAATGACAATAATTAGGTAGTATTAATTTTAATTAACAAATGAAGAAATTAAAGTTCATAGATCAAAGTATTTTATTACACAGAACTAGAAAGTAGTCAAGGTGAGAAATGAACTTGGTCAGTTTGGCTACAAAATCTTGTTCTCTTTATTTTACCAAGCTATCTCTTTAAAATTGGCAGAAAAATTGAGCTGAAAGAGACCTTCAGTCTAACTCCCTCATTTAGCTGATGTGGAAAGGGGCAACTAAAAGGTACAGCAAATGAACCCGCTTACAAAGCTCATTAGCACAAAGAAATCAAGTTTCTTGATTCTCCTGGTCACTAATAGTAAAAACTTTAGCAAAATTTCCAAATAAAATTATTCACCCAGACATTTCCTATATACCTCTTTCGTGACAATTATTGTTTGAAAGGAATCTTTTCTCCTCGTTTTTCTATTACTGATATTGCTATAAAGTTTTTAAGCCTCAATTCTAAGTTTGGTCTGTTGCCATCAACTGACTCACCAATGTCATCAAATATAAAAACATGTAGGCAATGAAGCAGTACAACTGGCACGTAGGATCAAATTGATAGCATTATCAAACCATAAAGAAAATGCTATTTTAAATTCACCTATCTCTAAATATATACACAAAATAAAATATAAATTCAAATATAAGTAAATAGTAAAAATGTATCATACTAAAGCTCTAAGTTTAGAATAAAAAGAACATTACAAAACAATTCCCTTTTGGTTGAACTGGACCATTTCTGTACCTGAGGCTAGATGATGATTGTAATTTTAATAGTTTTTCAAAAAGCTTACATTGAAATGTCATGTTTCCTATATCTTTAACTGAAACACACATAATAATAGTGAATAATAAAAACTCAAGATCTTTTGGCCCTTTGACGTAATGCAAACTCAATGATTTCTTTAATAAATTAAAGAAAGCTAAGAGGTATAAAGAAGACAAACTATGGTCACTTTCTGGCAGCAGCTACTGTAAATTCTGTCATATAGATTTGTTTATAAAACCTAGATAAATTTTAAAATTGATAGATCAGGTACATCTCAAATTCTGTAGTACTTAGCGTTTCGGGAACTTAATGAGGTACATACCAAAAAGGTATAATCTGTGTCTGTGGTGGGGGTTAAGGTTTTTTCTTAAGAAATCTGGAGCTCTTATGAGCTACATATATAAGAGGTCCTATATTGATAATATTGGATTGAACAAAATTATGTATAACGTTAAAGTTCCCTTAAGTGGTATCTTCTTTAGTTTGATTAACCTGGTAAGATCTATATCTCCTTATATAAAGTCTTCCAACATAAGGTTTTAAAATAAATCAAATTTTGGCAGATCTTTTTTATTTTACACACAATATACAACTTAATTATTTGATTCTCTTTCCTAATGGAATCACAGGCTGCATCTTTTTATATCAAGAATTTTCCACTCTCTACCCCTGCCACAGAATTACATGGTATTAAAAGGAAAGACGGAGGCACTTCTTTCACAAATTAAATTTTTAAAGAAAAAGGAAAATAGCAAATATATATTATACTTTTCACTCCAAATATTTGATTTTACTTTTAAAATCTGTCTATGTAAGGTTTCCCAAGCAAGTTGCAAATTCGTTCACAATAACTTTACAAAAGAGTTAAATTACTAAGTGTGGTGAACAATTTGAAATCATGTCTACCTGTAGGTAATACTCCTGGTCGGTCGCAGTGGCTCACACCTGTAATCCCAGGACTTTGGGAGGCCAAGGCGGGGGGATCAAGAGGTCAGGAGTTCGAGACCAGACTGACCAACATAATGAAACCCCTTCTCTACTAAAAATACAAAAATTAGCCAGGCGTGGTGGCGGGTGCCTATAATCCCAGCTACTCGGGAGGCTGAGGCAGTAGAATCGTGTGAACCCGGGAGGCGGAGGTTGCAGTGAGCCAAGTTGCACCACTGCACTCTAGCCTGGGCGACAGAGCGAGACTTCATCTCAACAACAACAACAAAACAAAACAAACAAAAAGAGATAATACTCCTATAGCATGCTGACTCAGATTTCCTTTAAACCTCCTACAATGTTTGGGTTGAAATATTTCAGAATCCCTAATTTAGAGTAGTTCATTATTCAAAAATAATGCTAGTCTAAAAAAGAAATAATAGTATCTTTTTTAAAGGGAATTTTAAAATTCACCTAATTGACTTTTAAGAGATTAATGACAGGGTAATTTAGTTTTTACATTTACAAAATACTACAGATATCTTCAAATCTTTTTAATAAGAAAGTACTTCTGAATTTATATGATCATCCCCAAATAGGGTAGAAGAAACAAAAGGTGGTCTAGGTATATCTGGAAATATTGTCCGGTTGCTCAGTGTGCAAGTCATACTATGGAAGCCTTTGGTAAGTTCCCATGGACATGGGAAGTAAAGAAGAACAAGGCATGATGAAGGTAACTAGTTTTCTTCCTTTTTCTGGTAAGAGAAAAGGGGCATTGAAAATAATACATTTTAATTTCAATAAGAAAAGGCTTTGGGAGATATTTATTTGAATTGTAAGTCTTGATAGGAGCTTTTTACATTTGGATATTAATTTTATGGCTTTCCTCATTTTATTTGCCTAACTCCTATTGATGTCTTGATTGTATGAAAAGATAATTATCATTTCTAGAGTCCATTTGTTTTACTGTGCTCCAAACTAAAGTTAGTTGGAATCATAATGAAATCCTCAATGACAATACTGTTAGAAACAAGGATTAAAACAGAGGGTAATTTATGAGATTTCTAAAAGTACACATAGTTATATTCCAGGAATAATCCAAATATAGAAGTAATATCCATATCTGTCTAATAACAAATAAAAAGTGAATTGACTCAATTTTTGATAGTTATTTCTATAAAACATTAGCAGCCCTTTTTTTCAATGTCGTGGGGTATTTCCTGGCCTAGGCATTACAGAGATAAATGTAAGATTATCTGATAATTAAGTAAAAGGTTCAGTTAACTATCTTTTCTCTATGCAAATAGTACATATGCAAAAACTCCATACTGTCTATGTCACTTTAAAACAACATATCTCAATTATTTCTTGTAAATAATTTGTTTTTAAATGGACTGCATCAATGGGTCTTTTCTGAGTCAGTTTAGAGATTGTCTGAAAAAAATATTAATCATGTTCTTCATATGTATATCAAAGCAAATTTTAAGAAAACCTCACAAATTTCCTAACTACATTAATGGAGCAATCCAAGCTGAAAACATTAAGTAGTTTGTTATAACCATAATGACTAATCTTTCCCCTGGTAGGCACAAAAATCTAGACTAATAAAACTGGATCCAGGAAAACAATTAAAATATGGTCATGTGTCCTTCATGTCCATATCTGAATCTGTTGTTTTTTTTTTTTTATTTTTAAATCCAATATACCAATCTACTGGTCCATTTTTATTTATTTATTTATTTATTTATTTATTTATTTATTTATTTTATTTATTTTTTTTTTTGAGACGGAGTCTCGCTCTGTCGCCCAGGCTGGAGTGCAGTGGCCGGATCTCAGCTCACTGCAAGCTCCGCCTCCCGGGTTCACGCCATTCTCCTGCCTCAGCCTCCCGAGTAGCTGGGACTACAGGCGCCCGCCACCTCGCCCGGCTATTTTTTTGTATTTTTTAGTAGAGACGGGGTTTCACCGTGTTAGCCGGGATCGTCTCTCGATCTCCTGACCTCGTGATCCGCCCGTCTCGGCCTCCCAAAGTGCTGGGATTACAGGCTTGAGCCACCGCGCCCGGCCCATTTTTATTTATTGACTGGGTGAGATTATATATTATTTTTGTTATGGAATATCTTATATTTCGATATTTTATGTACCTTCATAAACACCTATTTCTCGATCTGCATTTAAATATTCAATTAAAATGCAAATATATATTCATCAATTTGCTTTGGTGAATCAAAGACAGGGGGTGCTCCTATGCTGGGTGGAACAACAACCTACAAATACGCAGAATCCCAAGCATCTGTTGAGTGCCTCTGAGCAAGAGGATGGCTGCACAAAGCTGCAATGTACAAAATATGGTGCTGAAAACTGAGTTAAAAAGATGGGAGTAGATTAAGGAGAGGTAAAATTAAGGAAATTCTACATTTATAATGTCCAATCTATATGTGTTCATGCATGAATTGATTCACTATCCCTATTTTTTTTACTCTTCTTTCTATATTCCCAGTGAAGAGTGCCTGGACTATCCGATGGCAATATTACCTGATTACTTACTAAAGTAGCAACGTCAAATAAATAAAATGAAGTCATTAATAAGACACTGCAATTGGTACTTTAGTAGAGTATGACAGAGAAAGAAGAAGAGCAGATTCAATCTGATGCTCCATGATGTTGTAATGAAGTGGGTGGTTCTCCATCATTTTTCACTATCAATTTTATATTAGAGGCCAGGTGCGGTGGCTCACACCTGTAATCCCAGCACTTGGGAGGTCAAGGTGGGTGGATCACCTGAGGTCAGGAGTTCAAGACCAGCCCGATCAACATGGTGAAACCCCATCTCTACTAAAAATACAAAAATTAGCTGGGCACAGTGGTGGGCACCTGTAATCCCAGCTACTTGGGAGGCTGATGCAGGAGGATCGCTTGAACACGGGATGCAGAGGTTGCAGTGATCTGAGATCGCACTACTGCACTCCAGCCTGGGAGACAGAGCAAGACTCCATCTCAAAAAAAAAAAAAAAAAAAATTACACTAGATATTCTATGAACTAAAAACACTAAAAAATATGTTTCTCAAAGGCATTATAAGGTTTTAAGACAGTGCCTTTAATATTAGAGATAAACAACTGGTAAGAGTGGGAAGTTCTAAAATGCAGGCTAGTTCACGGTATTAAGGAGAAAACATTTGGCGAATGACTAGATTCTGACTACATTTTTCTCAATCTAGTTTAAATTAAAGAAATGGGCCGGGCGCGGTGGCTCAAGCCTGTAATCCCAGCACTTTGGGAGGCCGAGGCGGGCGGATCACAAGGTCAGGAGATCGAGACCACAGTGAAACCCCGTCTCTACTAAAAATACAAAAAATTAGCCGGGCGCGGTGGCGGGCGCCTGTAGTCCCAGCTACTCAGGAGGCTGAGGCAGGAGAATGGCGGGAACTCGGGAGGCGGAGCTTGCAGTGAGCCGAGATCGCGCCACTGCACTCCAGCCTGGGCAACAGCGTGAGACTCCGTCTCAAAAAAAAAAAAAAAAAAAAGAAATGCAAATAGACTTTCTAGTCTTAAAATGGTACTAAAGTGGTGTTGAAAATGGCAGAACACAATCAGATGTATAAACTGGATCATCAGAAATATGTTTAAGTGTCTAGTTTAAAGATATCCTATTCACAATTTCAAAGTTGACAAAGCATGACAGATATCACAGTTTCTCCGTAAATGGCTATTAACTTTAAGAAAAATCTAGATCTGAAGAAAGTGTAATAATTTGCACAATACTCCAATAAACACTGATTGACAAAAAAGATAGTGTTGCAAGTGTACTTTAACATACTCCTTGCTGTTATTAGTTGAGTGAGTCTCGTATTCCTAGGATTTGTGGAAATCTGTATAACTGTTTATAAACCTTATTATGCCAATTAGATTATTTTCAAAAATAAAATAATTCAACTCTACCACTCTAGTAAATATCAAAAGGACAGTAGAGTAGGTATATAATTATTATTGTATTTACAAATTAACAATCTCCATGAATATTATTGTATCACATTGAATCACTGATTAACCTAAATTTTCTAAAAACTGTACTCTGGTTCTCTGAATGTTCTTAATTCAGAACATAAAAGATTAATTAAAAATCTTCTAAATACTGTTTTTAGTTTATTTTTTAGCTTAAAATTTAACATTGCATGCAACTTAACTGAAAAACCATTAGACTGACTGTTTTGTTTGTATTTTACTAGATAGGAGAAGTTACACATTTGAATGAGTATTATCTTCCTTAATATAATCACTCTTACATAATGAATATATTATAACTTTGTGAAACTTGTTTTTAGAAGTGTCGTTAGAATTAGCTCATGAGCATAGATGAAAAGTAGATTATTTTATAGGCTTTTCCCTTTTCTTTTCATAAAGGAGATACCAAGCTTGATCTTTCAGCCTTTTCTAAGATACTTTTAAAAATGAAAGAAAAAAAAATACACTAGTAATATAAATATCTTTAAAACATGGTGCTGTTTAAAAAGGAAATTAAAAAATCGAAAAGCAAAATGTAATTGACTATATGATTGGAATAAGTAAATATATTCTAAAGCTGATGATTTTGATTATGATAACACTGATTTTAATGTATAACTTCTCACTGTAATGTTTAAAATATCAGTCTTAGTTTACAGTTATACCTTATAATAAATTATTGGTATACTGACATACCAAGCAATAGTGTGTCTGAACAAAACCAATATGGGCATCAGAAAACCCTGGTTCTAGCTTCAGCAATGCCTTTACCTACATAAGGGATAATGGACAAATCACTTGACTTTCTTCATGTGTATTATGAAAGGTTCAAATTAATAAAGACTTTGACCTACCTTGTATCTTTAATGCTTTAAGCATGTAATTATTAAACTATTTAGAAATAAAACTTTTAAATAAATTTATTGTGATTTATATTTCTTCCGAGTGTTTTTTAAAACTCTGAGAATATTAGTTATTAATATTTTACTGTACACTACTACTTTGCATTATAGTGAAATCCATCATTACCATTAAACCAATTTTCACATGAACTTGAAACTTCTTTGGTTAAGAGTCAATGATCCTCCTAGCTTACCACTTACTATCTCATGTCTGTTGGTTTTTACGAAAAAAAATTGGCAAATCGTTTAAAAAGATTTAAGTAAGGCCTTCTCATTTGGTTAGTTTTCATGAAAAACTTTTCACCTCTCAAATGTTTAAAAATATAGTATGAATTAATCTGAGGGCTTTTTCCTTACTCTATGCCAGAATTACATATTCCAACCTACACACCAGCCACTATTTGTCATATTCAATCCTATATATATCCTTGCAGGAGTTATAACCAACAATTACAGAAAGATGGTAGCATCCCTGAACTACAAAAGCACCTGCCTGCTAGTGAGACCTGTGGTAGGCAGAGATTGATTAGAAATTGTATTCCAAGGAGTTAACTGGATAAAGTGAAAATTATTCACTTATATAAATGCATGAGTGCCATTTTGTAGTATAAACTCTTATCTAGCAAACTATATTACCTGCCCATGGGTATGGTAAAATATGTATAGAAATACAAAAAAATTAAGTTATACAATGAAATTCTCCTATACCTTTTGAACCCTTATCATATTATTGCTATATTAAGAACTGTGGAAACTGAATCCCAAACTTCTTTTCTGATATGCTATTCAGATTTGAAGGCTGGAAGTCAAGACCCAGGCTACTCTCTGTTTTTCTGCAATCCAATACTAGCAGAATTCTGAAAAGGTAGTTTTCACCACTGCCACCCCTGAATAAAAAGGAAAGAGAATAGATGTCAGGTAATATCAACATCAGATGTCACAGGCAGTCATCAGGTTATTCTTTCAGCTGCTTACCAGTGTGACTCCTTTTATGTACCATAAGCACATTGGGCCCAATGCAAACCATGCCACAGACGTCACATTTCAGTTTACCATTCGGAAGCCGGATTCCTCCCTCGCCTTGAAGCTCCTGGACTTTCCTGTTGTCAGCCACCTCGCTGCTCTCAATTAGGGGTTCTTCTAGGCTGCTACCCTCATCATGGCCCCTGATCTCATCTTCACGGCTCAGGGGTTTCCTGTCACACTCTTCATCACTCTGCATTTCTAGTTTTACTGAGTTTGCTGTAATTTGAAAAGAAGAAAATACATTTTAAATACATGTTATGTAATATCACCTACATCTCTTTTCCACTCATTGCCATTCTACTAAATGGGCGAAAATGATATATAAAGTAGAATAGGGTTCATCATCAAATGCCATGTTAATACATACTGTGTTCTATGATATTTTAGTGAAATGTCATGGAAGTGAAGATAGCTCAGGAAAACTCTAGGTAAACAGAATGACTCCTTATTTCTGCATACATTTGTTTCTTTAGCTTAGACATTTGCTTTTTAACAAGTTTTTTAATAATCCTGGTATTGGCTTTTGAGTCTGTCACTAAGGCTACTAAGACTGAGATAGGATTATGGAAGAAACAAGATTAAATATTGCTTAACACAGTGAACTATGCCTCCTCTTAACTTAATGATCATTATATGTACTTCATATTCTCTGTTTCTCATCAGAGTACTTGTATAAACCTGCTTCTGAACACAGCAAGAGAAACAATTCAGGAACTTAATCCAGCAAATGTCTTTGACATATGAAGATACACTGTCAAGGCAAATGTTCTAAAATCAGACTAAACACATATATTCAGTTTAGAGCTATAGAAATGTAGTACACAGATCTCACACGCTCTTAAGTTACTCCGCTTGTTTTTTCTATCTAAAAAATTACCTATGGAACATGCTTGAAAATCAAAGTATTCCAACTCTAATCTATGCACACCAAAAAGCAGCTAATCACAGGAATGGCATAGCATGCATGTATACACTTGCCACTGTTAAGAAATTTAATGCGTTCTGTTTGCTGTTTTTGGATCATCCCACAGAAAAGTTGGAATTTTGTTAGCACAGCCTTCATTCTGGATTGCTGACAGTCTTTTCATAAAGCAGAAACGAGGTTTAAGTGAGTATCAGTTTTTTATCCAGTAATATTGAAAATTTCTTAAGAAGTCATATCAAAGTTACTAAGCAAAACAACTTATTTGGTACTACTTGAGTAGAGGAAATATTTTCATAAAAAGGAAGTAAGTTCTTTTCACTGCCATTGTTTTCTTAGAGAAACCACACAGTCTGTGATTTGTCATTAGTACTTATCACAAGAGGGTGCACTATCAAAATGGCTCTGTGGCAGAAGAGTACTGGCATTATAATCTTGAACTAATTATTTAAACTGAGTCTCATGTTTGCAAAGTAGACATGAATTCAGATAACTGAATAAAGTTCGAGCAGAACAGTTTAGGTATTAAGAGTGAGGACAGCGAGGAACTTAGGTTTAATTTCACCATGTCCTTTATAAAATGGGGATGATAATGGTACCTACTTCCTATGGTTGCTGTGGCATTAAATGAGTAAGTACAGGAAATGCGCTTATCTTTTATTTTTTTCTGGACATATTTTTTTCTGTGTTCTATTTCATAAGGTTTTTGTGAAGCTCTATCAACTTATAGTATATAAACCACTCTGAGATCTACAAAGTGATATGCATCCTTCCAGGACCCATTTCTAACAGAGTACCAACTATATTGAGTTTTACCCTACTTACAAATTGGTACTGCCTTACTGGTTTTTAAAAAGAGTTGGGACAGTATTGTATCCATCTTTATATTGCCAGCATGCTCAAGAATGTTGTGGTATATAGGAGATGTTGAAGTAGTATTTACTGAGATGTTCTACTAACTTAAGAGTTTTATTGCTTTAAACTTGCTTTGTATGTTTAAAGAACCCATAAACATGGCAAAGAAAAAACAAAAAACATAAAGAATAAAAATTAAAAATTAAGTTCTTTTGTAATCAAGCTCACTATCTTTCAGGCCCTCTCAAAAACAACCAGTACCATCAGTTTCAAATTCCAAATAGTCTGAATCCATTTTATAAATGTAGTGTAATGTGTTTGTCCAGTTCATCATTGGAAATTCAAAATTATTTCTTGCTTCTTTCTATTACAGACATTCTTTTACAATACCACATAGTTCTGTTAATCTGACAGATTAAAACTGGTATTTTACTACGGTTTTTAAAAAGCATTTTAAAATTATGCGTGAACTTAGACATCTTTTTCTAAGTTGAAATGTTCTGTATTTTTTCTCGGAATTGTTTATCAAAGTTGTCTGCCCATTTTTCTATTAGGTTATCAGTCTTTTCTCACTGAATTTAAATGCTCTTTATATACTAAGGAACTTAGCCCTGTGTTTATGATGTGTTTTGCAAAAATTTTGGTTTATCTCTTTACTCAAGGGCATTTTTTTGGCATATATGCTAATTTCACATGTTGAATTGTTAAAGCCTTCAGTTATGGCTCTTGGATTCTATATCTTGCATCAATAGGTTTTTCCATAATCTAAGTAATTCTTCCATGATATTTTTTCTGGTAAGGGAGACTTTTAAAATCAATGTAAAATGCTTTTGGTTATCCCATATAATGCTATATTCCATTCACAATTGTCATTTAAAATTAAACTTAAGAAGAAAGAAAATCATCGAAAAGTGTAACTTTATACAGCATGACTTTATACCACCTAGTGTGCATAAAGTTTATCAGAATTCCATTTCAGGAATGAAGAAATACATAACTGAAAGTGTAGTTTTAGAACCTGAAACTATGAGTCTATTAAATTTCAAAATAGCTCAGAATTATGAAGAATATGACTGACATTACACTACTAAATTATCTTTTTACCTACTGAGATTAAAACTTAACATGAAACAGATAAAATGTGATTTTTAAAAGTATGAGATTATAAATATAGTTAGAAGTTTTTCTCTATAGAAGATATACTTCAAATAAATACACAAAAAATGTATATTTTGCTAAAACCTAAATAGACAAGAAATAGTAAGCTGTAGTAATCTCTTCTCTAACAATACTATAAAGAAATATATGTTTATATGAATGTATACAATTTTGCTGTACTGATAGAGTAAATCAATAAAGTCCAACACATTTTAATATACATACGTCATAGATTAAATTTAGCATTTACATGGTGTGTATATACAAACAAAATCCCTGTATAACTAATCTTTAACCCGTCTCACTACAATTAGGTTGAAACTCTAGAATAAAAAGCAATTATTCTTTGAATCTTAACTATTAAATAGAAAAGTTTTCTCCACTCATAGAAACTCTCCCATGGTTTATTTTCACTATTTAAGATGTTTTTAATTAATGTAGAACACCTAATATTTTAATTTATTAATGATTAAATGTAAGTAGTAAACTTAAGTGTACTCTAAATTATAACTTATATATTAAGACTTTTGTTATATTTGTAGCTATACTATATGATGCTACAACTATTGAATTACAGCTATTAACCACTGTACAATAATATTCAGAGTCCTTTAGTTTTCAAATATTTGAAATTAGACTTACATGAAATTTCTTTTAGAATTTGGTAACACAAAGACATTCTCATAAATGGGCTATAAAGATGAAAACTTGTTCATTTGAGTAAAATGAAATCTCACTGTTACAATTCTCAATACCAAGAGTTATTTTTCAAGCTTGTTTCTCTGATATGAAATAAAGAATGTAAAAGTTGGGCATATTTGTGGAAATGTACACACGTTATCATATGCTAATAAACAATAATGACTTAAGTTAAAAAGAATTTTGCCAGAACAAATTGTTAGCAATGAAAAGAGGATATGAAATAAGATTTTAGTTTTGATGATAAAGATGTTTCTTATACTTCATTTGTAATGGCACTTCCATTTAGCATTTATAACTGTTATATCCATATTTTAGTAGACTCAGGTTTGTGAACACACGGCAAGAATAAGTTAATAGAAAAAATCTGTTACGATCAAGTTTATGTAGAAAAAGCTTTGAACATATTTCAGGATAAAATGTGCCACATATTTTTCCAAAAAAAAAGCTTCAGGATATAAACATTCTTATGAATTCAAGCTTTTCCTCTCTTCTTCTTTATGCTTTCAAAATATATAAACACTATAATGTAATCTTGATGCCATAAAAACAACTAGTTTAATCAATTCCATTTACAAATAACAAGAAGTAAAGACACTTGTACAGATACTCTCTTTTTTAAAGTGACTTTCAAGCCAAACAATTTTCAATTACAAAAGTTTCTTCAGTAACCATTCTAGGCTCTCTACAATCAAAGGTTTCACAATAGTCCTTGCTTCCAGATACGTAATAGTGAATGGACAGTTACACTAGACTTGCCTTTAATTCACTAATATGGTAATAAAAGGATAACTGAATAAAAGCCTTTACACAGGTAAACAGGTATAGATCATTTTGGAAAAAAAGGTAGAATATAAAACCAAATGGGGCAAAATCATGTTATTCTGTGAAGCTATTAAAAACAAATTAATTTAATCCAATCAATGCTATGATGGACATTTTCTTTGCCACCACTGTACTTGAAAAAGTTAAAAAAAAAAAAATCAAATCCAAATTTTACTCATGTAAGAATGAAAAGGATAATAAAATGCACAACAGTCATTACATACATTTGTAGACCTTACGTTCATTCATAGAACTCATCTACCTTTGCCAATAAGGAACAAAGATAGCACTGAATTCTCTTTAAAAAATCATTAAACCAGTAAATATTTATTAAGTATCTACTACTTGCCTAATATTCTGTCAACAATGATAGTAAATGTTTAAAGCCTAAAGCAAAAAAATAGTATTAACTTAAATAAGAAACCCATATTAACAGAAGAGTATGTACTCCAAAAATGGCCATAAAAGAGTTCATGAGTAAGAATACAAGAAATATTTTACTAACATATGTAATTTGGTTACATAATAAATCTATTGAACTGAACAAGATGTAAATGTGAAAAGGCACTTATTTATAACTTGGACATTTTACTTTACTACTTTTTACGCTATAACTTCACAAAGTCACCCATCTGTGCAAGACAGCATATGATTTTGCAGTCTGGCAATTTATTTCTTTAATTATATGAATTCTCAATTTTTAAAAATTTTAAGAAAGAGATCACTTTATCTGCATAAGTATATTAATTTTGAATTT